ATATTAGGGGGGTCCTTCCGGTGAGGGGTCCTTTAAGAATCTACCCCAGAAGGAGAACTTAAAAAAAAACTTGAAGATGTGATTCTTGAAAATAAAATAATGAAGATAGGAAGAGCCATGACTTCGCAGGGCATCATCTATTCCCTCTGCTTCTAAAATACTCTATGAAACTTTACAATGAACTTCTGTGCAATAATTGCGGAAGAACGCACCAATACTTCATCGGAGGTATGTAAAACTATCTCACATGAAACCATGCAATTTATTCCATTTACATAAGATGCTAACAAAATAATTTTAACAGGAGGGTATGCAACTTACCTCGCTGATAAAACCAACGAATTCAGCGACATAGACATTTACATACATTGTACAAAAGACACAACAAAAAAGACCATTGAGAACAACAACTACCTAATTTCCACATTTGGAAACGTGGCTACCATGACAATTCTCAATCAAGGCAGAAACAAACCCTGTGTGCAATTCATTCAGGTAACTGTGACCTATATTTCGTACATAATATTTCAATTCAACTCCCTGCTAACTCATGTTACTTAAATCAAATTACTTTAATAACTGGGTCCACTTCAATCTAAACCTAAACCCCATAGACATGGAAACATCAATATTCAGAGACGTCATGGCTTTATATGTTCTCTCACGATTCGACATGCCAATTTGTAGAGTTGCAGTGAAATTACCACTGACACTAACATCAACAATGGGTGAACTGATAGACTGCAGCTCATTTAGGCTGTACAGACATCCATTGAATAGGGAACGAGTGAGTAAGTACATAGAGAGAAAAATACAAGACTCAGTAACTCCTCCTTCCCTAAAAATATGCATCATTTTCAATATGATTACTTCATTCGACAAATTGTTGTCAAACAAGAATTGTCATCATTAGTACTTGATTTCAAACAGGGTTTCAACCATGGTTTGACACTTTAACTTTACTGTCAATTATTAGTTAACAGCCAATTTTCTGTACTTTGGTTAAGACTATCGATGTGTTCAGCTTTATTTACGTTTCATGACTTAAAAATCGTTAATCGGTTTTGTTTTAATTTTTGTCTTTGCATTTTGCGCATAATATTTTGTTTACATTGCAATTGTGTTTCCTTTTTTAAAGATAAAACGACATATGAGGAAACTGGTCCACTCTAAAGTTCCCCATGACCCAAATATGTGTAATTTTAAACTAAATATGTACTTAATATATTGTAGTATTATGAGGTTTTACCCTACATAACCTAACCTGGTCACAGCAGACCACATCCCAACATAAACAAGTCACGGCCACTAGTGATCACTATGGAGCGACATCTACAGTTGAACACAGACCCTACCATTGTTTAACGATCGCCTTTGTTCTTCTTGTTGTTATGCCAAACACCCAATAAAAGAAGGCGCGGGCTTTGACTCGTCGCCATTCTCCACTCAGCAGACCTACTAGTGTTTCTGATTCGGCATCCCCTCGTGTTTCCCCCAATATTACAATATTGAAACTTGTTCTTTGTTTCTATGATAAAATAAAATCAAAAGACTGTCATAATTCAAATACCCCAAATTCACTGATTCTGCTAACTTGCTATTACTTTTAACAATAATTTCACATAACCAGCACAGCACTTTCTGACGACCATATGACATATACAGTACTAGTGTTTCCATATTTCCTTACTATTGAAATT